ATAGCCTTAACAGCCGGCCAGATTATCATGACACCACGGCTGGTAGACATCAACACGAGCCCTAGCGACACCAGCAACAGAACCCATAAACGACGATGAAGACATCGACCACGACGACAACGACGAGTTTACCACCTGAGAGATGTGTGGAAACACCAGAAGCATCCTAAATACGCTTTTGCCGGTCATGGCATCAGCGGATCTTGTTTCTCAGCAAGCCACTCCTCACCTAACGCACCATAACCTTGCACAAAACATTATTCTACTCAATAAAATCTCCATACGAAGCCCTTTGAGGCCCCCATGTTCAAGCTCCTATATTGAAGGCTCTGAAATCCAAAACTTTCCCAACCTCTTCTTTCGAAATAGAGGCCTTCAACTAAGTAACCTTTTTCATTTCATGAAGATGTCTGCGCGGACGGACACCCTTTTCTACATAGTAGGTCGTGGTCGCATTGGAGGTCTTGTGTGGCGTCAGTTCTCACCTCATCCGAGCTACAGACACACGATTCGCCTGGAATCATCAGAGTCGTGAGCGCCGAAGCCATAAAGCCCCAAACCCCAAAGAATCCCTAAAGATAAAAATAGGGGCTTAATAATTACCTATACTGTTTTGGGGGCTCCTTACTATATTTATAGTACAATACACCCAAAACCCTATTCTAATTATCAAGGCCCCTACATTAGACACCAACTTCAGGTGTTCTTGGCAAAAGACCGGATGTTCAAGGACCGCCAGGTGGCCATCAAGAAGGCCGCTCAACTTGGCGTCCTGCAGCTCGTTTTGGGGTTTTTGGGGGGCTTGGGGCTTTCGGGTTCTGGGGCTTGGAGTTCAAATCTTGGGGGTTTTGTGTGGAGCATGCCGTTGGGTTTTTGTTGAAGGGGCTGTGCGGTTTTGGCACCCTATAAACCCTGAACCCCTAAACCCCTATTGGGAGTTTGAGAAGAACTCTTGTCGGGTTCGGGGCTCAGGGGTGCAGGGTTTATGGTCACGCTGTCCGGGCCAGCTCCAAGAAGCCTGTGGGAGAATACGTCGCGCTGTCTTCAACTATAATAAGGACTCTATAATACGGGTAGTTCTCTGCATTCTAGAGCCCTTTTTATTTTTAGGAACTCAAAGCGCCGTATCAAAAGGACCCTAAATGGGGACCCTAATTTACAGAAGTACCCTGTCGTCTTGTGAGGACAAGGGTCTCACCTGGGGCTCACAGCTAAACCCTGAGCCCTAAACCCTAAACCCCCCTAAACCCTAAATCCTAAACCCTGCGCCCTGCACCCTGAAGCCCCTTAGCCCCAGACCCTGAGGCCTAAACCCAAAACCCCTAAACTCTAAACCCCTAAACCCTGAGCCCTAAACCTGAACCCTGAACCCCCTGAACCCTGAGCCCTAAACCCTAAACCCCTAAACCCTAAATCCTAAACCCCCTGAAACCCTGAACCCTTACGAAACCCTAGCCGAACCCATCCCTGAACCGGTCCGGAGCCAGGAGTTCACCTCTGCCATGCGCACCTCATTCCCTAGCAGCCTAAGCCACTGCAGCCCTTAAGCCCCCCACACCAAACACCCACGAAGCCGCGAAAGAGGGTCCAGGGTTTGGGGTTCAGGGGAGAGAAGATTTAGGGTTAAAAGTAGGAACCTGATTAAGAAACCCTGGGTCTTCATTAGGGTTCTCAATATGAACTCCGATATATTTGGGGTTATAGGGCCAGGGTGTCTTCATGAGGTTCTAACCTTTACAGCCCTAGTCCCTAAACTGTAAAGTCATATCCGGGAAGACTCCGCAGTTGCTGTTGCACGGAAGACTCAGACTGTACTCTACGGGTCCCAAATAATTCACAATACTATTTTGTGGGGGCTCCATATTATCATTATAGTAGAGTATACCCCAAAGCACTATTCTACTTTTCAATGCCCCTGCATCAGGTGGTCAAAATCGATGAAGAGCGAGACTCTGCCTTCAAGAAGGAGGCTGTTCTGTTATGCCAGTCAGACTAGCAGATGCGATCGCAACACACCCTAAACCCCAAAGCCTAAACGTCTAATTCAGAGCACTTCTCGGTTAACAGGCGCCCCGAGAAGCGCTTGGAGGGCAAAGCGATAACCGGGAAGGCTGTTCCGAAATGCAAGCTCAGGTGCCGTACCATGGAGACCAACAACGTGCGCAATCCTTGTTTGAGACGCCCTTCTGGGCCATAAACGCTCAGCAACCGAAATCGAGTAAGCAACCTCTGACCATGTGGCGCATGGCATAGCAAAGTTCTTGGACTTCGGGAGGGTTGGGGGTGGTTTGCGTTGGTGGTCAATAGTACCTCTGTTGTATCATTTTTCTGGTGTTCCGGGCTACGATAAGGCGAAGCCGGGCCAGCGACACTTCTAACAAGACCCTCATCGGGAATCTGATAACGATGGTGCCCTGCATGACTGCCAGTAGCGTTTTCGATGGATCGTGTGGTGGAGCGACATTGCTGTGCCAGCAAACCCTCGTCAACTACACCCAAAATGCCCGCAAGGAGCGCTGCTCTCCGACCCGGCATCCCTAAACCACTCATACACCCAGCCCTAAACCGACCCGTTGCTCATTCCCAAGTCACCTCTCCATGTCCCACGTCTCCGAAGCCCTAGACTCCAAAAGCCATAGGGAAAGGAGCCTTCGGCAGGTGACCATCATGAAGCTTCTGGATCATCCCAACATCTGCCGCCTCTTCGAGACCTATGACCAGGCTAGCGTTTTGAGTGTTGGGCCTTCAGTCATTGAGAGCCTGAGGAGGTAAAGAGCTGCGGGTTAAGACTTCGCAGTGTTAATTTGCTGCGCATTGCAATTCGAATTAGACTTAGCCTTCCACGCTGAACTACTACAGCTAATTAGACGCAAACAACTGCTTGAGTGCGAAGTGTGTCTTCTGCGCATCCTGCCTCGGCATCAATGCCGTGAAATGTTAGAGTTGTGTATAGTTAATTGAGTTCGCTTCGAAACGACTTGGTTGTTCATGCAGGCCATGATTGCTGGTGGTAGCCCTTGTCGGCACACTTCAAATGGTTCTCCTCTCTTTGATTTTGGTGGTTTAGGTTAAAGGTGAGCAGCACGGCATTCTGTCTCGGTGACAACTTGCACACGAAGTCGAAACGAGATCTCCGTTCAGAGCACAATAATGAATCGTTATCTCTTGGATCCCTGTTGGCTTCAGGTGTACACCGTTATAGTAATTTTCTCTAGCAGTAGTCTTCATTATCCTCTCTGAGAGACAGTCCTATAGTTCATGTTTAGGATGGAGCATTTTGAGGATCATGTTCCAGCTTCAGGAGCACAATTCTGATTTAATGGTTGGACACAGACTTATACACATTACTGTTTATATAGACGTTTGTAGTTGCTTGGTGTGTCGGTTTGTTTGTCTGTCTATGCCTATCTTCCTGTTTGTCTTGCAATCTGTTTGTCTCTGTATCCATCTGCGATCTGTCGATCTGTGTATCTATCGCTTGATCTACCTACCTGCCGGCATACGTAGCATGTACTCTTATGTGCGGTTCATATTGTATATATATATATGTCTAGATTGTATACATATGTATATATATATANNATATATATATATATACACACTCATGTCTGCATGTGTGCGCAATGGTGCATATGTTCACACTCTTTTTCAAGAAAATCTAGTGGGCTTTGCACAACCATTGTATGTCTGCAAAACCGAAAGAAGCCTAGCCAAGCTAAGCTATGTCAAACTGCTAGCTGACACCCCTTGTTTACAGTAGCAGAAGCCCAAGTCTAACAGAAGCCCCGGTCAAACAGAGGGCCCAGTTTGATATAAAACCCTGTCTAGCACAACCCTGGTCATACCGAAACCCCTTGTGTGTCGTGAAACCATGGCATATCCATAGCCTTGGCGACGTCGAAGATGCTGCGCATCCCATTACGCGTAGGCTTGGGGAAATGTAGCACCCACATGCACAATAAGCAGAAACAAAACAAAAAGCTGATAAATCCATGGACAAACGCATGTATGTATGTATGTATG